TTTCGGAGAATTCTAGACCTATTTCATGAATAATAATTAGCCACAACTAAGGCATTTCTGCAATATTTTTACTTTTATGTCAAAATGGATCAATTTTTTCTACTGAATATCTTCGGGTTTGATTTTTATATATGACGAGATCTGCTAATTTGTTTTGTCATTGTAAAAATACTATGATGACGAAACATGGCGAAAAAAAAAACAATCGACCACTGCACAAACGTCACTATTTCGGCTTGCTGTAAGTTTGAGAATCAATTTTTGACAGTTTCATGCCACCTAACTTAGTTTTTTTATTTTTATTGATTTTTTATTATATATGCTATTACGGTTATTTTAATACAAAATAAATTTTCCCATGCCAATAAACCGTTTTTCTAAAAATAAAACTCAATAATGAAGAAAATGCTAATAGTAAATAGATCCAATTGAAGAGTTTATTATTTGCAAAAATGTTTTTTTCATAAAAGTATGTATTCTTTATAATAAAATAATTTGTCCATATGGATAATTTTCAGCATATACCTAAATGTTTTTAATGAAATTTGTGACATTTTTAGACACTAAACAAATTTTAAGCCTTTTGTGTTAATTACCTATTTGTCAGGCATGATTTAGAGAATTTATAAAAAATTGTCAAACGATAGTTTTATTGAAATCATGAAATTACCTAAATCAATTTAATTAGTTAAAATAACAAATTTGTTAGATGTTACGAACATCCTATATATGTAGCAGTGTTATATTTTCAAAGTACAAGGAAATCCAGACTTTGTCTTAATGTGAGATAATTTTTAAATCGTTAAAATGACTTAAATACTTTGATTTCTAAATATATCAATTCTTTGAAGTATTCGCTTTTTTCAAAGTTTTTAAAAAGTTAGAGGGTCATAACATTTATGTTATGCAAATATATTACGGAAGTATTGTTTGATCCTAAAACAATAATATGTATGTTACTTTAGTAGGAATATATACCGATAAATAAAGTAATCAAACAAAGAGGACACCCTCGCAAAAGAGAGACGACAATTCCCATTACCAGTTTTCTTTTTTATTGTAAAATTTTCCTCACTTTTTTATCACGCCGCTGCCTTTATAGACTAGATCGAGCACTAAGCGAAGTCGCAAACCCCACTCAGTTTCTTTTCAGTGCTTTCACTCGTAGCCGACTTAGAAAAATCACAATCGGTCGCAGATGACGTTTTCTTTTTCGCGTAAAGCAAAAAAAAAAACGTAACAGCGCGTCCGTTCACCGAGACCCATGTGATCGCCGTATTGCTCACCAAAAACAATCGGCGCGTCGGCATATCAATTACTCCGTGACGCGCAAAGTTGCATATGGAAAACATAAGTTATTGTTACGTCACGGCTCAACTGTTTCTACTTGCGAGCGAGGGTAACCCGATCTTGAGGACGTCGAAAAAAAACAGACTTGTAAAAAGATTTGTAATTTCGTTCCAGGCGCGCACACACTCGTACCCCCGCCTCAGAGGAAGTACTACTTGAGTTTTTTTCTGTCGTTCATTAATTACTGTTGCCGTTTACGAGCGAAACGTTGTGTGTGTGTGCGTGTGCGTTAATTAGTCGAAATTGGGAAGTTGGACGTCAAAGCGTTTTGAGCCCCAGACGCGTAATATGCGCGAAAAATAAGCTCACGTCGATTTCCAGTCTTTTATTACACCGAATGGTCACACAGGGTCGGACAAGTGAGATCTTTCTTTATGGTGCCTATCTATCGGTGGATGTCGGCAATCATCAGAAAACGGCAATTTAATCACACACAATAACAACATCATAACAGATATGAATGACGAACTACAAACCTGAGGATGACAAACTTGAACAAGGTTTTGAAAAGGCGGGTGTTGGTCCAAAAAGAAGAAATCATACAAACCGTCCATCAGTCCAAAAACGGTAGAGTTGCAGGCCCTGACTACAATCTCATCTATGCCATGCTGCTCACTGAGTTGTGCAACACCTTATACATCTCGGGAAGAAGACCACAGGATTGGTTGAAGTCCCCTTTTGTCACGCTACCAAAAAAAAAAAAGCTAATATCAAATCGCTGCTTAGAGTATCGCACTATAAGCCTTATGAACCATATACTAAAACATTTCCCAAAGGTCATTCAGAACAGGTGAACAAGCTGTCTCTGACACTCAGTTTGACCTCAGAAATGATCTTGGAACAAGACATACTCTCTGTAGCATGCTAGTACTAGTTCAAAGGTGCTTAAATATGAATAGAAATATGAATTTATACTGGAATCAACGAGCTTCTTTTTAGATAGTGAGTCATATATCGGATGAAATATACATTCAAAAGGGAGTCAGGCAGAGTTACGTGCTTTCCCTGTTAGTGTCTCTTATCTACTCTGAGGCTATTTTGTCAGGTGAAAACAAAAAAGGAATATATGTAAATGGTATACCAATAAATAACCTGCGCCAATCTTATTGAGTAGTTTCTCTTAAGATCTGCAATGATTGCTAACAAAAATTGACCAGCCTAGTTACGTAAATAGCCTATCACTAAATTTAAAAAATATTAAATTTATGACTGTCAACAAGCACAATATTGGAAATGTACAATTGTCAATTGGCCAAAAAATAATATAAAAAATTGATTGATCTCTATGAATACCTCTGATGTCGCTTGAACAGTCATTGGGAAATTGGACAGGAAATACGGATTCGCTTTAAAATAGTCAGAATAGAACAGTTTCTAAGATTACGGCTACGCCTGCCCATCTTCCCATCTCTAATATGAAAATCGTGGTCTAAGAAATTGAGAGAGTGGTACGGAATAGGTACCAGATCCTTATTTCGCGCAGCGGTCTACAAAATACAGATATCCAGATTGATCGCCAACCTTTACTAGAAGACGGCACCAGAAAAAGAAGAAGAGATAATGTGTGGCCGTCCAGATTTGCTCAGTCACGAGTTTATTTTCCTACCGATGGCTCGCTTTCCGTCTATATGTCCTGCCGTAATTAAAATCATGAATTGATGGAGCGCTTGCGCTTTATAATTTTTCTTAATTTCCTATCTCTGCTCATATGTCTTAAGATCTCTGCGTTGGTTTTATGATGCCGCATGATGGCTTCAAGGGTTCATGTTTCAATGCCATTTAGTAGTATTAAATTTTAGTAGTTTTCTTATATTGAAAAATATTTGTTCGATATTGCTGTTCATTTTCATATCAGTGTTGAAGTTTTCAGTCATCTAGTAGCTGAAATACTTCAACTCTGTAACTTAGTTATAACTGTACACGTGTTGAGTCTTTTACCCACAACCATTGCCATAGTCTTGTCGATGTTAACTTTTAACGATAATTTGTCTCCTTTGCCTGCTAATGTATTGATCAGTCATTGACATTTTCCAGGCCTATCAGCAATTATTTCAGTACCATACATATAGCGTAGGTTGTTGATCACACGACCATTTATTTTAATTTATGTCTTGTACTCCTTTTCTTCATGGATGAATTTTCTGTTGTCTGTCTCTTACAAATGCAGTTCAGTTCTGGTATAGTTTTTTAATAATTAGTTGGTCGTTTTCAGGTTTCCCTTTTTTTGTGGTCTACGCAATTAAATGCTTTTTGAAGGTCAATGAAATACATGTGAACACTTTTGGAGCAAGACAAAAGGGATAAATAGTGCTAGTGCACTAGCATTGCCTCATATTTTCCTCACACTTTCTAAATATTCAAATAATATTGAAATTTACTTGCATCAATCAATTTTTTCAGTTTTGCCTAAACTTACTTTATTTTGTACAAAAATTTTTCATTTTGGAGTATTCAGTTCACTTTGTTTAACAATAATATCGTAGTACCGTATTTCTTCTTGAAGCGCTTTAAGCAGTTCATAAATATTTGGATGCGGTTTTTAGCACGCAACACGTAGCACACCTACATGGATTCATCATGGTTAAGCTATCGGTCCACAGAATAATCGTTGAAGCTCACCAGGGCATCCACTGCGCGAGCTGTCCATTATTAGAAGCCAGGCCTCGAGAATATAGTCTTCTTCAAATGTGCAAGGGCTGCCCACATACGAACATGTCCCTTAATCTCTGTAATTTTCTACTTTTTTCCAACATTGTGAAAAGTATGTCCTATCGGGTAAAAGCAAGTCTGGAACAATCCTTGTGCTAACATCACTGCCGCCCAACTCTACGTGTATTGTGTATAATTGGTCTAACATAGAAACAGCTTTTAAAAATCCCGTCCATAAAAATTCGAGGCGTTGAGTTTAAAGTCCTACAAAAAAAATGTTCGATCATCTTGGTTATTGTCTATTAGCACAACGTGTTGCATTGGCTCCTGAATGACTATTTCTTGCCATTTTTTTGGTAAAGCTTTAACTCCCAAAGATTTTTTTCTGGATCTGTAGAACCTCTCTGTCACATTTGCAAATGTTGGTACTTCAACAATAAAGTAGAGTCCAGCGTTTTTAACTTGCATCAGCTCTTTTCGGTAGATTTCAGGAATTGGTAGCAACGTCTTTATAAGTACCTCATTAATTACCTACCCTAATAGGATTATTGGCCCTTGCACGAGACAGGAGGAGTAATTTCCATAATTTTTAATGCATCCGAAACGAGATAGGTAGTTTTTGAACGCACGCACGAAACGCGAAGCCCTAAACAAGAAAACACCGTAATCTGTAATCTCATATATTTAATCCCTATTTTTATTATCTGTATAGAAGCACATAACAAAAGTAAAACTTTTTGGGAATATGAATTATCTACAGAACAATTATTCTTGAATTTGAAAATGTTTTTTTCAACAGTTCAGCTATATATAATTTTTAAAAAATAACCAATAATTATGTAAATTTATTTAAAATGTATGAATGTCATTAAGTTATCGGTAATTTTATTTTCATTTTATTTACTACATTTGCATTAAGACATTGTAAAGAATTTGTTTACTTGACACAAATTCCGTTGTTTTCGAAACGACTCGAAATTATGTGAAGGGTTGTTTTACAGGTGGCTTGCTGGAGAGGGAGCCATCCCCGCCAGCTTTCCCGTCGTCGCTGGGATTTACGAGTTACTGCAGATCGATCTGGGGCTCCTCGATAACACCCGATGGACCCAGGTACCTGTCGACGCTAGCTCGTTCCGAAACCTCCAAGGAGAGATCGCCAGGTGAGTAATTCGGGTGTAACCTTCAATGCAAACGGCATATTTCTCAACCCATTGCTGTGGAAAGCATATTTTTACAACGTACGGGATAAAAAATACTTTTCATTCCAATTTTTGCCATAAGGACCCTACGACTAAGCATTTTTGAAAAAAAATTAAAGAAGGGAAAATTATAGACCATATACCTTAATATTTTTTTTAGACTATCAGGGAGGCAGATATATAAATTAGTTCGTCTTTTTTTATTATACAGCGAGGGTTAAGCATTTTAGTATTAAGAAATATACAAAATATGTAGACATATTGGTGGTTGGTTTTGTATCTGTAAAGAATGCAATAAAGGTTATATGTGCTTTTCGAGGGCTTTGACGGATGGTTTAACTATGGTTTTCGGGGTGTTGAAAACCATTCCATCCTTTATTACACAACAAATGTGCTTTATTTTTTTGGTGAAATCTGAATGCAAAACAATTTTGAAGGTTATTAGGGTGGTACCTGTTGTGTGTAATAATTCCTAGATATTTTCATTAAGCCTATAAAAGAATTTCGATTTACAACAATGGGATTAAACGATCACGTATTTCGTTTCTCGGTATTTGGAATCTAAGGAGTGTTGAGACTGTAAAGCTTATTTTTGTTGACTGATTTGTCTAGTATTTGTGTGATGGAAAATATTAGGGGATCCTTTTATCTAAGATAACTTATTATTAATCTTCAACTTCAAAAAGAAATAGGAAGATCTCAAAAAACTTCCAACGTTTCAGCAGGATTGCCTCAGAAAATCTAACCATCGCTTAAACCAGGTATGGCATAAGAATTAATGACTATAAAATAAAACTTAAATGTCAGGTAATTTTGAACATTTTTAAAAAATTTAATGGAAAATTGAAATACTCTGGAGAATATTATAATCAATCATCAAAAGTTAAATTTTCAAAATTCTCTTTCTATAAATTTGAGACGTGAGCGAGACAATTATTATCATCTATCACTATGCAGTTAAACATTTTGTTAATCCTATTTCTCATAGGAAATGCAATGCAATAGTAAAATTAAATTTAAGCCTACCACAATAATTGGGGTTGAAATTTTATATATAGAGTATCGAATTAAGTCTGCGCAATATAGAATATTTTTTTATTTTCATTTTTATGAAAAGCTCCGCAAATTTGTGTACAAGGTTTGTTGAAAATATAAATCTCCGAATTCCTTTATATTGACAATAATAATTCTCGTCCATTTTTTCGAAATATTCATTTAAAAAGGGTAATAAGCATGGTAAGCACATCAGAAATTTATTACAGATATGCACATCAAGCGTTAAGGAAACTTAAATATCACCGGAACCGTACAGGCTTTAATAATTAGAAATAAAATACAAATTATTTAAAATTCTTATCAATTTTTCTTAATATTATGATATATATACATCTTTCTTTATATTTTGTACAATACCTACATACAAATTTTAAAGAGTTAGAAAAACATTTTACTAGTTTTTCCGCTACATATTACCTTTGAGTAATTATATTTAAAAAGAATAATTGAAATGAATTTTTATTCCCTGATTTCAAAAATATTATCGGAACTTCTGTATAGCCATTCGTTGATATGCATTTATTTGGTGTTAATTTAAATAATTAAATAATAGTTCACTTTTAACGTCCGTTTATTACAAGTAATTAATTATAATACTGTTATATTCTAATTTGCAAATAAATGAAAATTAACGGAATCCATAATAAGGCAAACTTTATACATTTGAGAACAGGACGAAAACTTAAAATTAAAGTATAAAGTATGTTAAACAATGTAAGATATGTTGTTATAATAGACTTCCAACTCATTTTTTCGATTCTATGGTTGACAATATATAAAAAGAACTCAACTTTGTTATTTTTAAGTTTCCTTCTAACTTTTCTAAATTAGGCTGTAGATATGGAGCAAAATATAAACGGAGATATACATACATATATATATATATATATATATATATATATATATATATATATATATATATATATATATATATATATATATATATATATATATATATATATATATATATATATATATATATATATATATATATATATATATATATATATATATATATATATATATATATATATATATATATATATATATATATATATATATATATATATATATATATATATATATATATATATATATACCTGACTTTTTGATTTCATTTAACCCTTTCATCACTATTAAAGCACTATATATCGTCACTTTAATATTTGCCTATCTTACAGCAAATTCCATCTCCAAAAATGCTTATTTAACCATGATACAGCTCTGAACTACGTTTTTTAGATGAAAAAGCAAAAAAAAAAAAGAATAAACTTACTGATATCCAACAGCGGAAATTACTTTATTAAGAAAAACAGACAAAATACAAAAAAGTAGACAACAAATCAGATTGCATAAACAATTTGTTCGATACTATCTAGATACCCATATTAAAACTAAATATAATTTAATCACTATAAGTGTTGAAAGATATAACCTTTGGCATCGAGGCATTCCCTCTGTTTTGCATTTTTAATACAGTTCAATAAATTGTTCTCACAGGATTGGGCAGTCAAATTTTGTCGTAGCACTTGAAGATCGTGAAGTTTTTTTTAAATAAACGGTTCTTAAAAAATAATCAAAGTGACTGAGATCTGGGCTCCTAGCGGGCCATCTCACAAAACCATTGTTTCCTATCCATTTACTAGGAAATACATGGTTAATGAATTGAATTACTTCCCTTCCATTGTGGGAAGAAATAATTCCCAATCAAATTTAGATATCTTTCGTCAGTTGTGTTCTTGTCGTTAATGCAAGGTAGAATAATTCTGTTTCGCCACATACCGATTCATACATTGAATGAAGTTCTCCCTTGAATTTGTACCTGCTGGTTTTTCCTTAGATTTTTTTTAATAATCCGCTAGTTGAAAATCCGTTAATATTTATTATTAAGGAAATCTACATTTCCATTTATTTTTTGAACCAGTTATAAAACTCCAGGCGCCTTTCATTATCTCATGGCCAGAGTGCTTGACTACCGTGTAATTTAAACGCTGGTTTTGTTGAGTTCATGAGCAAATTGTCTAGTAGATAGAAAAATAAAAAATAAACTAATTTCATTCACGGGATCCATATTTTTTTTGTCTAAAATAGCGGAATAGCTATGATGAGACTGCCATCTTTCCGGATACAATTCCATATCTTGTTGACTTGTTACTTGAGAATTTCGATTGCAACTATTCATTTTGCAACACTTTTTGAAAATAAAACAAGTATGGCGCGCCATGTTCATACAGCCACCTTATAAAATTAAATTGGTTAATTTATGTTATGGATGGTATAGCACAAATTGTTTGTTTTATTGTCTAGTTCTTTTGTATCTTTCTTTTAATAAATACTAAAGTAATTTCCACTGTTAAATATCAATGAGTTGCAATAAAAACTTCTCGAACGTGTAATCAATTTAGTCTTTTTTTTACCTTATCACATAAAAATGAATATAATAAAATTTTCTGTACAAAACAAAAAGTGATATACTGTATTTTAAGTGCGATGAAAGGATTAAATTAAATTAAAAAAAATCAGGTCCGTATTTAAAAAAATTAAATTGATGATGGTTGCCAGGTTGGAATTGTTTCGGGAGTATGCTGAGTTTTTCATTTTTTGAGCTTCAAACTGCCCAACTTTGCCTCACTTTACCGACCCTGTATCTGTTACGGTTTTCAAAATCCCAATGATGGGTGTCGAATTTAAGCCGCCCTCTACTGCGGCTCTATCCTGCAAACTGGAAAAGAACATCAATATAATTTAAACCAAACCAAACTTTTCATCAAATTTGTTTCGAAACTCGCGAATTCTTGAAGCTCCGCACCGAAACGTTCCGTGCGCATAGTAAAACCCGGTCGGCTCCATAGTCGGGTCAGTCTTGTTTGCACAAATACCTGTCACCCCGGTCGTATTTATTTGCCGTCGCTTGGCGTGCCCCCCCATTCGGCTGATTGTCATCGTGGTCGGCGTAGGTATTAAATAAATATCGAAAAATAAACATTTAATAACATGGAAATATAAAATAAGGCCGCGAACCTTGTATGTCGCGGGGTTACGTGGTGTGTACCTACTTCGCACGAACGCCCCATAACACGTCACATTTATTGCGTGGAAAAAATACACACTCGCAGACAAACACCCGCCTATATTCAGTTTTGATTAATTGAGCTACCACGATGGGACAACGTTATTGTTTAACTCGAGGTCTTTCACCCCTCCACCATCCCTCACCATCGACGCCTTGATTACAGTTCGATGGACACAGCTATCATAAACATCTGTGATAAGCTGAGTGACGTCAAACCACATCACAGACGATTAGATTATTAAGGGATTGAAAGAGACAAAGATCTAATCCAAAATGGTCTTTATATATGGCAATATATAAAAAAATATTTGGTTGTCATTTAGTGAAGGGTGAACATTTCTGATAGGTAAGGTTGACATACCAAAATTCAAATGCTTAAAGATAAAGGGGTACAACAGCATTTCGATTGGTGCGTGATTCCAGGAAGGAAGAAGACGATAAAGAATGATAGGCAGATTTACTGCTAGATTTATAGATCAAATTAAAGACTACCAATAAGTCACTGACAAAAGTCATGAGAATAGTAGATGGTAAGCAACTAAGTGACGTCACACCATAGTAGAAACGATAAGATTATTAAGGGATTTAATAAAACTGGTCTTTATATATGGCAATATATAAAAAAATCTTTAGTTTTCATTTAGTGAAGGGAGAACAACATCTTTTCTGATAGATTAAAATTAAAATTGATGGTTATAATAACTCAACGTTGGCGTTGCCATACCAAGATTCACATACTTGGAAACGCCATGGTACAACAGCATTTCGATTGGTTTGTGATTCCAGAAAAGAAGACTACAAAAGAATGATAGGCAGATTTGCTGCCAGATTC